ACACTGAAAGTCAAAAACACTATTTTTGATTTAGAGTTTAAATGGTTTCGAGTGCAAAGGGTTAAACAATGTTCTTCTGTTGTTTGCAATTGAGTTAGACAATTTTTATTTTGCATAAAGATCTGCATTCTACTGTTTATAGAACTTGCGTGTTTATGGTAACAATTACTGAATAAAACACCAAAGTGTAAACACATTAAAATTTAAAAATATTGCTATATTGTCTTCACTACATTGAAATTTTGGTAAGAAAAAATATTGCTTCTTAATAGAATATTAAGAGAAAATAAAATAAATAGAATATTAATATATATAATAATATATATATAATAATAATATAATAATATATAATAATAATGATAATAATAATATATAATAATATATAATAATATATAATAATAATGATAATAATAATATATAATAATATATAATAATAATATAATAATATATATATATTAATAAAATAAATAGAATATTAATTGCTTCTCTTGCTTACAGCCGAGTTAAACAATTTTTATTTTCACAAAGATGCACAGCCTACCGATACCTGTTCGCGAAATTTATACATTTATCATAAAAATTACTAAACGAAACACCAAAGCGTAGTCATTAAACAAATGTAAGAACATCGTCATCTTCGCATCACTGCGTTACAATTTTTGGAGAAAGAAATACATTTCTAGTTAATTTTCTGTTGCTCGGATCGAGTTGAACAATTTTTATCTCGCATAAAGACCAGCAGAATTTATGCGTTATCGTAGAAATGACTAAACGAAACACCAAAGTAAAGGCGTTAAAAAAAATTGAGGAACATCGCTGTCCTCTCTTCGCTGCATTAAAATTTTTGAAAGAAGAAATACATTTTTAATTAGCGTCTCCGTTGTTTACAATCGAATTAGACAATTTTTATTTTACACGCAAATTCGCAGTTTATTTATAGCCGTTGCATGCCTGGAAGTAAATAAGGAAGCCACCGATACCGTCACCGACAAGATAGATTTGACGAGTCCGAAGAAATGATTAGAGGCGTCGACGATACGAAGCAAAACCTGTCTCCTCTTCAGATACCGTGTTCGAAAGAAGCTGTCAGATAGTTTGTCTCGCGAGAGACGCGTCAGAGAGACTCTCCGATACCGCGCTCTTCGCTTGCACACGCGTGAAAACCGCGGCTGTGTGCATTCTGCATGTGCACACGCGCAGGTAAACACACAGTCCCCCCCTCGACGTTTAGGGGAGAAAGGATGATTGTCGAGGATCGAGAGAGCAACGCTGCCAAAGTCCATGCAGTAATGTTACTTTTTTCTTTTTTCATCGGCGTGTGTGCACGCGCGCGCGCTCGCGCTCGCGATACTGCTCCCGCGCGCCGTATTTCCGTGTTTTCCGTGTGATCCTGCGGCTTCGCCGAGCTCGGCTGTCCTTCTGGTTATGCAACCGAATAAAAGTGTCAGACGTTCAATATTACGTCTGACATCATGTCTATCGCGCGAGATCCTGAAGAAAAAAGCCGGAGAAAAGAAACATCGGACGCGGAACACTTTCTCGACTTCGCGCACTCGCCTCGCTAAAAACTGGAGCAGATTTCTGCGTTCGGCGAAGCGCGTATTTTCGGTTTGTTCTGTTCGATTCTACGTTTCGGTTGTTCGTTTCGTCGACGAAAAATTGATGGTATGCTAATTCTCGCCGTTGGCCGCGAATCATTTGCATATTAATTCGAGAGAAAAAAAGAGGAATGCATCTCTAAAAGCAGAGTATTCAAATAAATTGAGCAATAAGTGTGAAATTGTGAAAATGTTTGATTAGCATACTTTTTCTCACTGCGCAGTGTAAACAAGATCACGCATAAATAACGAATAAACATGTTATTCGAAAAGAGACAAGAACGTTCGATTTAGATATCTCGTTTTATATATATTTAAAGTTATCTTGTAATTTTAGCGTAGTTACTTGCATTTTAAACGAATGGTTATGCGGCGATATTAATACTAATTCTATATACTTATGATATGACTATTAATTGTTATGCACTTTTTATTCTTTTAACGTTCTAGTACAATTAGCAGTTCGAGTATAATTTCGTGGACGCTAAGTAGAAAACGAAATCTTTAAAAAATGTAGTACATTTGGCACATAATTGTTCAATTTTGTTGCTATTTGTTGATTGCAGCTTTTGTATTCGGATATGCGTTTAACAGCAATATTGTTCGTAAATGGGTAGCTCATCGTTGTTTAGTGAGTACAAGCGTGGCAATGCTCTGTCTGATCTACCTTAATTCTGCTAACTAAAGCTGGGTGTGAATTTCAAACGCTTTTGCCACCCAATACTGTCCTCGCGAGTTTCAACATTCTATTGTGACTTTTTTTCCTCGATGCATACGTCAAGGCGTCTTCGTTGCTAAACGTCAGAACATTGTGCAATTTCTCAATTTCCTACACTATTTCACAAAAACTAGGATTAGGGGAAAATTGTCTACGTCAACTGCAATACAGCTAATTGTAAAAATGAGATAACAATGCTTAGCACTGATCTAACAAATGTTAATGCGATTGCGTCTAGAAATTCTTTCGTGAAGGAAGAATGTATACTGACATTTCACACGTTTTCTGTAAAAAGAAAGAAAATATTATCAACTAGAGGAAAGCTGATTTCTTATAGATACTGACTTGTGCAAAAATAGTTGGCAACGTGCGATAAGGTGTTAGATATTACACGAGAAAAATCGTCGGTCATCTGATAGCCAACAAATAAGGTTTGTCGATTCGACAAAAATCTAACATCAAATACCTGCATAGCAGATTTTTATGTAAAAGAGAAATTGTTTGTATCAACTGATACGAAACGAGAGTTAAACAAAGAAGTTTAATAAACAGTTTAAATAAATTGAGAATAGCGTAACGAAGACAACTAACGTCTTCGCTGACCTGCATTTCACTTATCGATTTCGCCATAAAAGTACATAAAATTCGAACAATTCTAATAAGAAACTTTACGCATCTACTCTTAAAATACCTAATAATAGGTTCTCTTCCATTTTCCACGTATTTTCCAAAGATCCACGATTTAGTAAACTAATCGTCATCAGAGATTGCTCTCTTTACATTACCGAAAGGCACAAGTGCTGCGGATTTAGGACAAACGAATGATACCTCTTTGGAACCATTTACTGGCTCTGTAGTAAATTCTCCTCAATTTTGGTAGCCTTGCATGAGGAACTAATTGTCACGAAAGATTTTCCGCTTTACATCGAAGAGAACCATAGCTGCTAAAAATTCTGTGTCGCAATTCCTCAGCTTTGGCTGAATCTCTTGAATTTTGGCAGCCCTGCTGGAGGAACCGCTCGGGTCCCATGGAGTCCCGTGGAGGTACGCCGCGCATGCGCGCAACGAGCATGCCCTTCAGATCCACAATGATGGAGCATCTATTAGAGGAGGCGATTGTTCTTATATAATGAATGGATCATGTAACTAGCCGCTTCACGGACTCGCCTCGAGAAACGAGAGATACAAAGAGAGACGAGAAGAGAGCGTTCAAAGAGAGAGAGAGGGAGAGAGAGAGAGAGAAAGAGAGGGAGTGAGAGAGAGGGAGAGAGAGGGAAAGAGAGAGGGAGAGAGAGAGAGGGAGAGAGAGGGAAAGAGAGAGGGAGAGAGAGAGAGAGGGAGAGAGAGAGAGGGAGAGAGAGAGAGGGAGAGAGAGAGAGGGAGAGAGAGAGAGAGACGCCTTCGCGCGTATACATACAAGGCCATGCGACGTGTGTCGTGTACAAGCGACGCTTATACCTGTGCGCGAGTGTGCGCAGCCACGTACCAGTTAGAATCAGCTAGGTTGGTACGTAAGTGCAGCTGAAAAGGCTTTTTACTTTCTGGCCTTGAACGAAATGTATCCGGTGACTCGACGACCGCTGATCGGCCGAGGGAACTTCGTCGTTCCCCTACAATCTACAGCAACGCGGGCCGGCAGCAACGAGTCCTCTCCTATGCCCTGGCCGGCTATCCTGACCGCCGTTATTTTTCGCGCGCGCGTCCGACGTCGCCGCGACGCGCCGTGCGAACCGATTCCTGGCTTAATTGCTGTCGCGGACAAGTGGATAGGATAATAACAGGTTCCGCGGTGCATCGTGCAGAGCCGCGCAGTTAGTTACCGATCCCATACCGTGTCGTCGCGTTATTGTTCTTGCTCGTTATGAAAGCATTTCAGAATCGCGGAAACCGAACGCGTCGGAGAGGGGGCCCGACCCGGCCCGACCCGGCCCGACCGCCACATCGAAACGAAACGAAACACCGATCCGTTCCGGGAAATTATGCTTCTGCTGTTCTCCAACGGCCGCCACCGTTGGGTCCGATCGGTCCCAAACGATTTCGCAGGCTCGATCGCGGGTCGTTCTTTCCCCGGTTTTTTCGTTCATTTCCCGCGTTATTGCTTTTCGTAATTCTCGCTCGTCGACGGATTTTCGTAAGAACCGAGAATCAGAGAGAGTGTGCTTGTGTGTGTATGGCGGAGAGAGCACGTCACAGTCGACAGAGCGATGCGTGAGTGGGAGAGCGTGAGAGACCGGCTGGAAAATAGCGATTCGAAATCGGGGAAAGGTGTGAGTCACGGGTTTCACGGGGTGTCATAACCCTGCCCTCAGCCGCGAGTTACGCGTTTTCGTTTCGAAAATATGAAACACGCTGTCCGTCCGGCCTGATGAAGAATTAACGAGCCACGAAGCTATTTCTAACCGGGGAAAATGACGCTCGATTTCCAGCGGATTGTCAAGCGGGGCGGCGAGCCTCGGAAGTGGATTGCAGTGTTCGCGGCGTGGTTCCATTTGCGATTTGTCAAATGCCGTTTGAACGGTTACGTTTTCGTGCCTCGAAAATTGTAGAAATTAGTACAGAGAACAAAAATTGTTATGCGATCGCGGTTGCATTCTTTTATGGAATCGCGAGATCTTGGGGAAGGATTTCTTTTTATGGAAGAAATGATTTTCGGAAGTCATGGTACTGCTGTTGAAAGTAAATCCTTTACTGGAAGATGTAGATTTATTAAAAATATATATCTAATTATATTTGAGCTGTTTTTTTACTCCAAATTGTATCGTTCCAAGTTATAGTATTTGTCTTCAAAATTTCGAATGAATGTTTGCCAGGAATTGTACATGAATTTCTTTTTAATCCAAATATTATTTAAAAGGTTTGTTAAAAGTTAAACCGTATTTTGGTTAAGTTTTGTAAGAAATTGGACTATTTTAGTGAGGCAGAACTATTTTAGTTCAAGGTCATAGTATTGGTTTAATAAAGAGACACTTTCTTCTCGGCAGCTTCTTAAAAAATTAATTAATATCTATTTTGTCACAACATTATTACATAAACGTCATTCTGTAAAAGAAAATAATAAGAATTGCGTTAAAATTGATTTCACTCAAAAATTTAAGACTTAAATTGCCAGTTAAAACTAATTAACAATATTGCTGTTTTAAATGATGCACAGAAAATCGGATTATTCTACAAATAATGCGAATCTCCTTTTAATGCATTCGAAAAGTGAAATGCGAGAACGTAATTATGATTGTTAATGTTATACATATTCTCTTTCCGATTTACTACAATTTCTAGAATTATGAAGGGAAACCATAAAGGGAAAGTCGCATTACTTCTGTAATGACCTAATAGGTGCCAGGAGGCATCGATGATACCAATATGGTGTCTTCTTTTCACCAATACACGTTTCAAGCATAGAAAATAGCTGGATGAAATATTTGAACGTTGTTCAACTTCAAATTCAGTCCGAAAGAATTAATTATCAATAACGAAATCATCTATAAAATTGCTTATGAACATTCCGATTGTCAATGAAAACAAATTATGTGGAAGTTATTGATTTATGCATGTTCTTCTATAATTATCTAAAATATCATAAAATATAAATTGCCACGTTTAAACCGATTTCATTGATTACTTTATTTAATTAAAACGTAAATATAATTTTATAAAGTCTGATAAGTAGTCTGCGGATTTTATGCATTTACGACAAAAACGAATAAAAGGTGAAAGACATTTGCATCTTACAATTAATTTAAACAATTCTTAATTTTGCATAAAAATCCAAGATTAACTCTGACAAAGTACTGCCTACAAAAATATAACATAGCACAGCAAGGATTAATTTTTAAACAAGAGGACGAAGAATTGTTGTTTAAGTTATTAAGGAAAGAAAAAAAAGTTGCTATTTTTATTCCGATTCCTAAGATCGATCTAAACGATTTTTCTGTTGCACAAAGATCGATAGTTCTTGTAAGGAAATGCCACAGCACTTTCCCCGCAACCCGAGTTTCGGGTTCCAGCACGCATTGTTCGGAGCCCCGTGCGCCGCGTGTGTTTATGGGAATCAGTGATAGCACTGTACCTTTCGGGGAGTTCCACGATGTTCCCCGATGTTCCAAGCGGATGGTTTTCGAGGCTCGCAGGCGCATGTATACGCGAGAGGCCCGATGAGACCGCGAAACATGGCCTATTGAGACTGGCGAAACGTAATTGGGCCCACAAAAAATGGAGCGGAAACGCCCGGACCCCATTACAGGCCTCGTAACGAGTTCTCTCTCCGCGTTGCTCAATCCTCTCCGGCTGGTTTGAAGGGTTTGAGCCGCCTCGCCTTAATCCGCGCCGTCACGATCTGTTCTCTGCACGATAAATACCAAACGGCTCCATTATTTTCGTGAATCGTACGGGGATCGGGTGACAAGGAATTCCACGGATAAATTCACGACGTTAAACTGTAGAATATTTGACAACTCACTGCGCGGACCGGCCGGTGTTCACAACGTTACACTTTCTCGCGTAAATCGGCTTTCAGCGATCGCAAATTACTTTCTTTCGTCGAGGCGCGATTATCGACTGTGTCATACTCGAAAGTGGTTATCGGACGGATCGTTCCATCATGGTTAAACGGAATGGGAGGATAATGCGTTGCCTTTTAACCGAGTGCTATTAATGATTCGACTGTTCAACGCGACACTTAAATACCTTCGAATTTCGTGTGTTCGAAATCAGAGTTGAGCGAAATATTAAACGACCGCTGACGACTGAATTATTACTGTTAATCGTTTCTCGCAATTGACAATTCCATTCATTTTAATCATTAATAAGAATTAAGTTATTGGTCATAGTCAAGTTAAGTTTAGTCATTCGTTAATCGCGTTCAATGATCAAATTTCTTTCAATTGTTAGTCGCGATTAACGACACATCCCCGATACATATAATCTAATAAAGTAATTAACGCGATAAGGACATTTCTTCACGGAATTACATCAAAATATCCTTCTAGTTCCTTTGAAAAATCAAGAATTATTAGCTGTCCCTTTCAATCGACGATTCACACGATTAATTTCATCAATCGATTAATTGAATCGTCGATTTTTCGACGTTTAGTGTTTTTGATCGTTTCCATCAATTATTTAATAATATTTATTTATATTATTTATTATATATTTATTATATTATTATATATTATATATTATATTATTTATAATATTTATTATTATATTTAATAATATTTATATAATATTTATTTTTTGTGGATAAATATTTGTACTGTTCTTTTAATTGAGATTCTACGATGCAAGATGAAAGTACAAACGGTTATTTGAACGTTGCGCCACGTTCTTTGCTCTTGAGCAACAAAATACATAAACTTTGCACGGACCACGGGTAAGGAACACTTTTACTCGTGGTACACTTTCTTCGTGAAAAGCTAACTTAGCGTTACATTGCAAATTAGACTTCCATGCACATTTGTAACTCTCGGTGTTCATTTTTTTTTCATGCATTGCATATCGGAGAGGTGCAATTTGTTTTGCATATTAGAGAGTACTATTTCACATATATTTATTAACTAATATATACAATTATAACTAGATCGCAGATTTTAGGCTTTTTTCATAAAAGTAAGTAGGTACAATTTAAAACAATGAAAAGATATAACAAAATTGAAAGAAACATTTAATTTCTATTCTACAATTGATTGTTGTTTCGTAGAATTGATGCAGAGAATTTTTATTTTACATAAAGATCTCGCAGATTAGTTATAACTATCTGATAAAAACAAATGTGATGATAAAAATCATTATGCATAGCACTTACAAAGAAACAATTTTCACTGTATCACCCCAATCATTGTATGATTTTCGTCATAAAACCTGGAAAAATTCGAATATTTGTACCCTGCATTTTAGAACATGTACTTGTGTGCTGATAAATAAATTAGATAAATCAGTTATTTATTCACTTCAGATGTTCTAATCGTTTCTTAATCAATGGCGACAAACAATCGATGTTTTAGACAATTTCTCCAGAGAAACATTCGCATAAAACAATAACTCTATCATTGTGTAATATTTTTACACACCCCAAAAATCATAATATGTAATTTGGTAATTGCCACTGAAAAAAATCAGGAACGTTCCCTAATTTGCAAAATTGATTTACTACATGCAAGAAAAAGTTAGAAGAAAAAAAAGATAGAATAATATACATTACTTTTGAAAATTTGCTAAAACATAAAACCAAGCAAATGTTGCAAAATATAATAACACGCATTTCAATGTACGTACATGTATATTAATAAATTGCCTGATACGATACGTACGATAATTAATTATCTAACACATATGTATTATAATACATTGTCTAATGCATGTGTACGATAATAAATTGTCTAACGCATACGTACGATACATTATGTATACAAATAGTGTCAAACCCATTCGAATATAAAAACTTAAAATAATAAAACATTAAATAACGACCTGACCAGTGAATGCACACTTAAACTACATGCTTGTTAAAATAATCGTTATTTAATCCTCTGAATGACATTACCGTGTGCGAGCTATTGAAAACTACGTCGAACGATCAGTGAATGAACGCTTAATCAAATCGATAAAATTTTACAAAACAACGTCTACTAACAATCCGTAGGTGTATAATCAAACTACTTTATAAATATTAATGTGAAAAGACTACGATAAATTGACCGGGGAGATGCTCGTTCATTGCACACATCGCTAGTTAAGAATAAATTGTGCATGAAGAGTGCATTGACACTACAAGTTAAAAAAAAAATTGTAAATGTTAATCGATTTGGCCTGCGAACGGCTTGTTTAGCAAAGACGATACGCCGCAGCCGATAAAGTAATTCCGAGAACCGTAATCTCTTTTAGTGCTGACTAAAATGAGAAAGTATAGTAGGAGAAATATCTACCTTTAATAATATTTTTCTGACTTTATATATCATACCCATGTTACAGGAATGTTATTCCGATTACATTATCTGTATTTACATTTTCAATCACGTTATACGTTATGGAAAAATCAAGACCAAATTTTTCATAAATACCATAAATTAACACGATGTAATTTCTACAATGTAATTATGCGGATTAAACATGGCAAGGGTTAAATGTACAAAAGCACTCGCTTGAGAAAAATTCCACAAGCAATGTAATATTAGTAACGCAGAGAATTGAAAGCGGTTGTAACGCAACAAATTGAAATTAACGTTTATACGGCAAATTGAAAATATTAGTAACACAGAAACAATAGTGACAGAACAAATTGTAAACGATAGTAATACAGCAAACTGAAAACAATAGTAATACATTAAATTGAGAACAGTAGTAATGCAACAAATAGAATGTAATAGTACCTAATATAGCAAATTAAAAACGATAGTAATATAGCAAATTAAAAACAATATTAATATAGAAGTGAATTGGATTAAACAATGAAAATTGGTTTGAATTAAGCAATATGAGCCGTTTATTTTGAAAGTGGCATAAGTCACTTTGCCGTAATGTGAAAAGTGGTGATTTTTTAATGTTTATACGAAATTATTTATACTGAGAAAAATATCAGTATCCTGAGATAACAAATACAAGTAAATCTTCTCGAAAACAATCCATATTTTTAAAGGTGTTAAAACGCAAACCCTTAAATATAATTGTTAATTATATTATATTATAATTATTATAATATATATAAATATATATATATATAATACATATATTATATTATATTATAATTCTTAAAAACAAAGTGACTTATGCCACTTTCAAAATAAACGGCTCATATGGTGTGCGTCGCTCGCGCGACGTACGCACTAGACGCTTAAACGATTAAGAAAGTAAATGACGGCATCGCGGTGTTAATTTTTCCCTTCTTTTTCCTTGTTCTGTAACGAGGCCGCGGCGCGCTTGGGCCTGCACCGCTTGGACCGCATCGCGTTCGCGATTCAGTTTTACGAGGAGCCTCGGAACGTCATAAATTTGATGATGCGAGACGCATGGCGGCAGACGCATCGAGAGGGTGTTATTCAACCGCGGAAAGCAATGTTCGACGCGTCGGAGAGCCGGGCGGCGTTCATCTACGATCGAGGCCTCGGTTTTTTTTTTCATGCGAGTGCTCGATCTTTTTCACCGCTCGGCCCCGGTTCCCTGGTCCCCGGCGTGTCTCGCGCTTTAATTTCCAGCCTCGACATTTGCGTAACCCAGTTTCGCCATTGTTCGATTCAATGGTAGATCGTAACGTCCGCCATCCGGATAGAAGATTATAATGCCCGCATGTACATGGTACTGCGCATCGTTGCGCCGAGGCCTGTGCGAATGTGGAAGCCCCGCGCGCGCACGCGGCCGAACCGAAAGCACATGCAAGCCGATGCACGGCGCGCAGACGGGATCGCGCGATGCACACGGATGCACCGGGCCTCTATGCACACGAACGGGCCGCGCCGATAAGCAGAAGCGAGAGAGCGCCCGTCGCTACGTCCACAATGAGCTCGCGTAACCAAATTTACGAATTCCAGCGACTTTCTCCTCTTATCTTATCTTATCCCGACCTCGCGAACTCGATGCACCAGTTCCCATTGTATCTTCATCGTTCTTTTTCGCTTGCAAATGCCAGCGAGCTGTGGGACCGGCGCGGCGCTCGCGATCGGACCACTCGATCGGGAAACGCTCGTTTATCATCGGACCACGGGATTCACGCTTTTTCGAGTCGCGAATCCGAGAGGAAACATTCGGACTCGAAGGCCACATTTTTCGCGGTATAAGCAGAATGGAAACGCAAGCCGACTCTGTTATCTGTTGCGATTTTTGACGTGAAGATGGAATTATCGCACCACAGAAATCCGTGGAGTATGGTTCGAATTCATTTAATCGTTTGATATTGATCTTTATACGAAGTCCCGTTTTTGAAAATATTTATCTATTTACTTATTTATTTATTTATTTATTTCGGTATTTCAACGGCACGAACCCTTTGCGTTACAAAATTAGAATAGAAAGCGATGTCTGTCGAATAAAGAGAAAAGGTGAACAAATGGAACTCACTGCAATAGAGAACGGCAGAATACTGAAATGAATGCTGAAAGTTGAACATCTAATTGATGTTATATTAATTTGATAATATGTTATAGATGACGTAACGGAACGTAATATTTTACAAAGCCTGAAACAGAGGAAACTTCCGTTTTGATAATCGGTATGTCCTTTACAGGACTACACTAATTTTTTGTACTCGAGTGACAACTCTGGGGCTAAAAATTGCGCTAAAAATTGCTGCACTATTTTGAAAAGAATTTTTACATTATTAAATTTGACTG